ACCTTTCAAAATGTTTAGTTGTTTTAGCACTTCAGTTGTGAATCATCTTGCTAAGTAATTGCAAGCTTAAACTTCCTACTTGCATATTCTAAGGTATGACTAAGTATATTCAAACAACAACAATGTACATTGGTAAATACAGGCTCTGGTGAAAAGTTCAATGGCTTAATGTACTTCTCATGTTGCCATATGCATAACAAAGGTTTTAAAAATTAGTGATCAAATATTATTTGTTTTGATAAAGCATACAATTTGATTTTAACTGTAAACAAATTTAGAAAGTTAAATTTTAAAGCAATCATGCCAGCATAAAACACAAAAGTTACTCTGGTGAAATAACCACGTTTAGATACTTTTGCCAGCAAGAATTATTATACATTGGGATTTGAAACTTGGCAGCAAATTTTGTTTTTTACTGAACACCTTGCTGAGTAATGCACCAACTCCAAGAGGCAAATAGTCCTAATCCCTCCTTGCCCAACCTTCTTCATTTACCTAGGGTTGTGGTGAACATGTTAGCTATGCTCTTTGAAAGCCACCTTCAAGGATAAGTCAGAATCTGGGAGAGGGAGGCACAGAACAGAAAAAAGAGGGTGAAGTGGGAGAGAGAATAGAGAAAAGCATAAAGAAAGTGACAGAGGGACCAAGGAGCTGGTAAGAGACAAAGCCTGCCATACACCACCCTGTCCGCTCTGTACTAGAGTCTAACATGTCTCTTAAACACATCTATCCCTGTTTATCTTAACTTGATCTAAATTTGTTCTTATATGGAGAAATGATGTTCATTCACAGATACAGTACAGTTCTGTGTTTTGTCAAAAACAAAGAAAGAGCATATATCAGGACAGTTTCCTTTCCTGTCTTGGTTGTTTAAAGTAACTGTCTCAGCAAACTTAAGGATAAATTCAAATTTTAAAGATTTAATTTTTTAATTTTTTAAACAGAGCAACAGTTGCATTTATTATATTTGTATATAACAAGGCACTAGAATATGTCTTTTGCATTAGCTGTGCATTTTCCACAATGAATTATCATCTTAAATGAACAAATTGGGTTAGAGTATGATGTGGAAATGTGTTACTAACTGTCCTAACACCTGAAAGCTTCTGCCTACCAAAGAAATCACAATATGAATCAGACAATGAAAAACAAGAAAATTCAAAGAAATAGCATATAGGATTCCTGCTAAATCCACTGAGGCCATGTGGAAAATTTCTAAAGACCATCAGACCGTGCCAAATATTAGAAGAGAGAGGGAGTATTAAAAGTTGTATTTCAGTTTATCAGTGCGTGAGTCCCAGGAAATTTTCTACAGCCATTTGGTTAAGTATGATGAATGGGTATGAAAGAAGTGAATATACATAGGAAAGAGTTCATAACCCTTGTGTGACAGCTCTTTGTTGTTGCTACTATTACCAGTAGCTTTGAATCATTTAGGTTAAAGTGCCAGCAAAAGTTGAAAGCCTTCATATTGCCATTAAGTTGTACTTATATGCTCTCCCCCCGATTAGTGGATCACTGTCATTCTTATGGGAGTTTCCCATTGACCTGGACTCCTTGTGCTCCTGGGCCCAATATCATGAACTGGCTATATCAGATTAGTTTTACCTATAGATCTAACTTAACCTTTGACCTCTCAAGACTTAAAGCTAATTTCTGTATTCTGTTCTCTTAGCTCCTTTTCTTTTAGTGTCTTTCACTTGTTTTTTGAGTGTTTTCATCACATGCTGGAACAAAGAAAGAAAGATAAGGGGAAAGTAAATTTTAATTCACTTATTCTGCTTAGTGCTGCTGAGAAAAAAAAATGTGCTATAGATTGTTTTAATTGTTAAAATATCTTGTTTTGGTTTATTATATAGTGTAAATGGAATGCAAAATTCTCAAATCCATGAAATATATTGATTACTTATGGAAATCTCTGATTAAATTTCATTCTTCACATTGTCATAAATAGTTAAGAGGCGACTGAATTTGCTTTTTATATAAATTTTTGAACAAATTATGTAAGAAGACATTTAACCTTATTAGTCATTTATACTATCCTCTACATTTGCATTAATAGAAAATTTCTTCAGTGATTTTTTCAGTGATCATCAAAATAAAGCATTAGTAACAATTAATAAGTAGAACCACATTTATAATTTATAAAATATTTAAACTTCTCTAGATATTTATTGCATATCTGGGAGAGATGTTTAATTAATGCATACATATTTCTGATCTTCAAACAAAAGTTAAGAAAAATTCCATTTAGCTTTTAGAATTGAGACATAAATAGAAAAAAATCAATCAATTAGTTAGATATGGAAGCAACTACCTATTACATACAAACCTATAATGATATCTGTTAGGATAGTTACTATATTTTTAATATAAATCAGGAGGAAAGAAAGGTAAAATGTTTCTTTATTGAGTTTAGATTTTAATTTGGGGGGATAGTTTGTAGGTTACTTTAAAAACCATGTTATTTAGTATCTTTAATGGGGGTTACATAGAGATATTTTTAGGCCTCATGTGACTTATGCAACATTTTGGCTAGTGTTGCAAAAACGACAAGTATTTTCCTTAAACAGTAGATGTTTTCAGATGCTTGTGGCACAATTGAAGTGTTTCCGGCTTTGTCATAGTTTTTGTGATCTTATTCTTGTTTTAACACAAATGTGTTGTTATTGTGCTGCATGCACAGTTGTTTTGAAAACATTTTAGAAATATTTGAGCAGATAAAAATAAAATAAATATTCTTAGATAAGATTTTTGATACACATTTCGAGCTGGAAAAAATATGTACACGTCTATTCTTAGTATAGAAAATGTAAACCCTGAATTCCATTAAATTTCTCAAGTGCTATACTTTCAAGAGCTAAATGATTTAAATTTTATCTCCGTTTTTCCTCTTCCCTTCTGACAATCAAAGTGAGATCATTGTGAAAATGTGTTTAAAATGAAAGCATTCCATCAGGTGGGAAAAAAATGATTTAGGTAACATTTAAATAAAATTCCTTTTTTAGTTCTTGAGACACCATAGTGAAAGAATGCTCTGCAAAATGAAAGTTGTCATTTAGTGAAAGTTGTTATTTAGTAAAAGTTAGCAGCTGAGTTAATTGGCACACTTTAGCAAAGATGATTGTATTTAAAAGAGAAAGTACTGCCTTTGGTTTGTCAGGTGGTGACAGAGTTACTGCCGTAGATTCCGTTCTTCATGAGAGGAAATTAATTTCCTGTAATCAAGTTCTGTGGATTATAGTCTTTGTCTCCTTCCACCTTGGCCACAGAAGCAACTCCAAGTCTTTTTATTCAGCAACACTCCACCGCTTTTGTAAAACAAGCGGTGACATATTCGGCATAAAAAGGTTTCACCTGCTACATTTTGTAACTCCAGAACATAGCATATTGCTGCTTTGAGACTGAGAGAGACTGCTTTGGAAATGACTATATTTGTAAAGTTTTATTTTGGGAAGAAAAAGAAAATTACAGCAAAAAAACCCCCGACATTTGGGCAGAAGAAATCTTGGCGATGTTTGAAAATGGAATTACAAAGCAGTATAGCAGTACATGGTTGGTAAAATGAGTCCCAGTAATTAACAGGAACTTTTGTAGAAATATTTAAAATAATAACTAAATTATATCTAATAGTAGTGAATGAAATAAAATACAGTTTTAGTCTTTGTGAATTTTTCAGTTTCTGGTATACACATGCATGTGTTTGCGTGTATGCATATACATGGACACACGCATATATACATACGCACGCATACAACTCTGACATATATAAAATCTTGAGATAATTTGAATTCATTCTTTATAATTTACAAATAATAATGTTTTGAAAGTTATAGCATTTTTAATCTATCACATCTGAAAGTAATATTTTTTTTAATAGGATAAGGGAAAGGATGGAGATTCAGGACAAGACAGAAAACACAATTCATAAAGAAAAAAATGACCTATAGTCAAAGTGGGATAGAATCTTTTCTCTCTGCAGTTTCTATTATTTTATGTTTAGAAAAAAAGAGTTTAGTATATAAACCATATCTACCAGCTAAATCTCAGGCCTTTTCTTCCCTATTTAAGGTCAATTTCAGTGTCTAACTAGGCCTTGGAGAAGACATTAGGCACCCTGTAATCCATCTCTTGCATCTAAGAAGGAGCCTTATTTCTATTTTGGGAAGATTGAATGAGGGTTTTTTTAGTGAAATAAAACTAGGCTAGCCAGTTTTTTTTTACTATCTACTAGGTAGTATTGAGTTTTGACTCAAAAATCAATCTAGAAGATATTTAAAACTGAGAAATAATATTTTTTACTCTATCCTCCAAAGTTCAGCTTTGGAGATCACTCAACCATTGCCAATTAATAAATAAAAGACATAGATACTTTTATGCAAGCAAATACATCTCCAACAAAAAAGTAAATTCATCTGTTGTAGTTTATTAAAATGTGACTGAAATTACACTTTAAAAAACAGGCTAGTTAAAATACCTGAATTATCTTTTTGTTCAATACTGTATTTATTATAATGCAAGGCAATATGATTTCTAAAGTAAACCTAAATTTAGTTGTCCTGATTCAGTCTAGAATTAGACTTAAGAGTGACATTCATTTGGTTTTTGTAATGTTTCCCTCTTTTATTATAGGGTAAGGCAGTTCTGACTTTATTTGACATGTTGAGGTTGTAGTTTTTTTCACCTAACACACCAACATGGCCCTTTAATGCTAACTGGAGTTTATTTAAGGCTAAGCTTACAAGCCCCCGTTAGCAAAATCAGTCTGTGAAAAAGAGATTTGGCCACCAATACGTCCCAGAGCGCTTTGATTCATAGTCCCTAATTTTTAGTGACAATAAGACACATAGATTGTTACGTTTAGCAATGGTATTCCTTACCCAAAGCTGTAGGTGCTATTCTGTTAGACACTGAAATGGATGGTAAATGTTAATATAATTATTTGACATTCAGTAAACACAATTGTCACTTTGTGTTTGTTCTCATCTTCTTTTCTATAGCCAACCCAACCCGAGCAGGCGGAAGAGAACCATACCCAGGCTCGGCAGAAGTGATCCGAGAGTCCAGCAGCACCACGGGCATGGTCGTTGGGATAGTAGCCGCTGCAGCCCTGTGCATCCTTATCCTCCTCTATGCCATGTACAAGTACAGAAACCGAGATGAAGGCTCATACCATGTGGACGAGAGTCGAAACTACATCAGTAACTCAGCACAGTCCAATGGGGCTGTTGTAAAGGAGAAACAACCCAGCAGTGCGAAAAGCGCCAACAAAAATAAGAAAAACAAGGATAAAGAGTATTACGTCTGATCTCAAGATCTTAAACGGACACTTGTATAGAAATAGTCTTCATTTTATCTGAGACATAATATAAACTTATTTACTTTCCTTTTTATGAAGCACATACAAAAGAAGACAGGGAATGCAATCAGGAAGGAAAGACTTTTTAAAAAATAAAAACAAGTATCTCATGCTCTTGTTTCTCAAAAAAGAAAAAAAAAACAAACAAAAAAACAGGGGCCAATAAATTCCCTAACATCCACAGTGTTTTCATTTACTCTGCCTGTCTTTATGTTGCTGGAACATTTCTAAAAGACAGTGATGACCGCACGCATTCGTAAAGCACAGGAGTATTACAACATCAAGGCACAACACACACACACAAAAAAACAACACAAAACATAACACACAAAAAAGAAGCTACCTATGATCCTGGATTTAGCCAAAGTGCTAGCGCTTTCCTGAGAAGTCAGATAGTCCGATTGCCAGAGAAGACTGTCATTTTGAGTGACTCAACCTGCAAACCTTTAAGAGTTTGCTGCCTGGTGCAACTGAAGCAGTGGTTGGAACTTGCATTTGAAACAAAGTGCTGGCTTTTTTGAAGACTTGTGTAGGAATACATTCAAAAAGCCCCTTTCTGGATGTGAGAGAGAAAAAAAGTATGGAGGCCTTATTTTCAAAAATGTGAAATATAAGGCACATTTTCACACTAAAATTTCAAAATAAAAACAAGAGGGCATAGATGCAATCATTGGGAAATTTTCATGCACGCTTACTATGTTATTACATATGTTTATATAAAACCCATCTCTGTGTGCTTTCTGGACTGTGATAAGTGACGTTTTATAGCCTGTTGTATAGAAAATGCAAAATATATCTCTGCTCTTCAGCCATTTTTGGTAAATTCAATGTTATAAGTGTTGCTAAGTATAGGGAGTTTTATGACATCAGAGCAACAGTTATTTCAGTTGGGATTTTTTTTTTTGCCACCATTATAAATTGCCACAATTACTTACTTTTATATTAAAAAAATTACAGTGTAGTGTTTATTCTAAGAAAGATATGTATGAATGTATATAAAAAGACTCAGCTACTTTTTTTCTTACATGTACAGCCTTCATTCTGTTGCAATTAACTTTTAGTATTTGTATGAAAGGTGTGAATTAGAAGGTAAAATATATACATATGTATCTTATACTCTTTTCTCCCTGAAATACTTATATTCTCACATACATTCACCATTTGCAATCACACACACACACACACACACACACACACACACACACACACACACACACACACAATCCACAGGAATTCATCAGGTATGATGGAAGACCCAAACATGCATATAGTAGCAAATATTTACTGACAAATTGAAAACAGGAAGGAAGATAGTTGTGCCAAGGTATTAATGACAAATGGGGTGATTTGCTTCATTAAGATCTTGCTCCCAGGAAACCCCAAGAAGATTTTAGTCCCTCATAAAATGGAACCTTTTCTTATCAAATAGAATATCACTGATATACTGCTGCATGAATATGAACCATTATGTGGGCAGGGTATGGAAGCAAAATTGATTAATCTATACCTTAACTCTGGCTGCTGCAATTGAAAACTTCGTTTCTAATAAAATTATATATATATATATATATTCTCTGAACCTGATGTGCATGATAAACATTTTTTGGAAAGTAAACGCTTTCTCAACTATGAAAGTATTTTAAATAATTTTTGATTCTGTATTTCTACCCATTTAAAAATCATTCACTATCTGCTGATTATTGACTATGTTTTAACTTTTCTGATTTTGCATATATATCATTATATATAGTTTTAGTTTAACAAATTAAGTAGTAGAAGAGCGTAGATTACACACTTGTTTTTGCATATTGTTTCAATAATGCTCATAGCAATAAATTATTAGTATGAGAAGGTAATGCAAAAGAAATGTGTTATTAGATGGCTAGGTGATACTTCGGTAAAAAGTACTTGGACATCTAAAAGAATGGTATTAGATTTCACAGAAGAGAAGAATATCTTTACAATTAGCTTTAATCAGCAAAGGCAAAAAATGCAAAACATCTTTTGTGATACTTTAGTTGATTTTTTTTAAAAAGCCAGAAGTGGCCTGTAATTCAGACATACAGTACCTTAGAAACATGTATAATTCATAGCAAATCACCACTATCTATGGTTGCCAAGTAATCGTTCTGTATGAAGAATTTTAAAGACTTTTATATGACCCAGAAAGTAGAAGGTATAAAACAGAAATTTAATATTCATGACTTTTGTTTTAGATTTTTATTTGCCAGGTTAAAGAATTCACAAGTCTTTTTTTATCCCCTCTCATTCAGTCTTACTCAGGGAAAGCCAGTGAAATAAGAAGGGAAGTATAAAACTACTACTTTACAGCTTGAGGTTAAAAAAAAGATCATTGCTTTTCCATTTGATCTATTAGACTTGAACTAGTTTCCATCTGGAAAGATTCTAAAATATGATAGAAAATAAATTGAATAATGGTATTTTAAGCAGTATATCTATGAAATATGTTTTTGGGGATTGATTTTAGTGTTTCTTCCCAGCATAAATTTTAAAGTGGAAACAACAATAAAATCTAATATTGCCGGTAAAAATATGTCTAATGTTATTGGCCTACACAAACTCTAGCAATTTTTTTTCTGAATGGAAAAAAGAGAGAGAGAGGAACATGAGTTAGAGAGAAAAAAATGACTTGACTAAAATACCAAGTATCTTCATACCAAACATATCAGGGTTCCATGCATAGTTTGCGGTTAATAGAGGATTTCACACTACCTGGCATAAATTTGATTACATCTCTAAACTGTAATTTTTCTGATTGAGTATGCTTCTTTTTTATCCATGTAACGTGTTGCCTTTTTTAAAAGAACAAATACTACAATAAAGCGTGAGGTGGTCAATCCCTAACATATCAAAGAAAGGCCACATGACCCTACCCTTCTAGTGCTTTGTGTGATTGGGTATCTAAGGAATTTTATTTGTTTTGTTTTGGGGTTTTTTTGTTTGTTTTTCTGTTGCAAGGCCAATTTATCCATTATTGGAAATGCTAAGCAAGTGGAATTTACTGTTTTGTTAATAAAATATTTCTTAATACAACTGTGGATTTATTGATTTAAAAAATTATATGCGGCACCATCTTGTGATAAAGTGGCATAGTTCCACAGATTGCATTTGAAAGGAAGACCTGTCCTTCTACAAGCAGAGGAAGAATATGGACTCTCTTTTTCTCTGGACTTTATTATCATTAAGCACCTATATATTCATACACTTAAAGATGTAGTCACTAAATGGACCTTTGTTTACATTTACTTTAATATAGAACTAGTTGAAAACTGTGAAAATATTGATTTCATAAATATTATTTTATATAAAGAAATGGGATTCAAGTTAAGTAAATCTCCGATTAAATTTCAACACAATTACTTACTAGCTACAATTTACTTAATTTTTTTGACTTTCACTTACTTCATAAATTTAGGGTAATAATACCAACCTCACAGGGTGGTAAAGTTATTAAGAACTAATGTACATAGCACAACTGAATGCAAATAAAAGATGTCTACTAGTAATACTATTTTTATAATAATAATAGCTTAAAAAAACCATGTCAAAATGTTTGCTCACATTGTATCATTTGAGGAAAATAAAATATCTTAAAAAACAAAAAACAAATATATAAAGAACCATACTAACTTGTTTTCATATAGCTATATTTATTTCACACAAATCAATTAGCTTTTTAGAAATCAGATAATTCATCAGCAAGTCTCAGTTCAATAGCTGGTTTTAAAACTCTGGCCCTTGAAAATAATTTTCTGATAGAAATGCATAAATTTGGTACTTTTCTCTTCTTCTATTGTGAAAGGTTTGGACATGAATGCTTAATCCATTTTGCACCTGTATTATCTTAGATATATGTGTTTTTTGTTTCCTAATATTACCTCATGGTTTTTAAAATGTAACAGGAAGAACAATTCACATTTTTATAATGTCTAACTTAGAGGATGCATAATTTAACTAACCTTTAAAAAGTAGGCATTTCAGTGGTGGCTGTTGTATAAAACCTATTATCAGTAAACAGACCAAGGATTTTGGATTCTTGAACTGTGGGGGCATTATCTCTAGGACCCAATGATTGGGCATCAGGGGTTGCTAACTTTACATGTATATAAAATAATTTGACAGGTGTATGTAGATGAGTATTTTCTTCGTAAAAGTGTTCATTAGCCTCATGAAATCCTCATAGGGTTTCAAAACTTCCCTAAAAATTGAGAATAACCAAAATAGGCACTGGATATAAACAAAACTTTGTTATAAATAATACTGAAGATGAATGGTTTGGTAATAAGAAAGCATCAAGGAGATGGCATGGACTAATTTTAACCATTGCAGTATCTTTCACTATGACAAAATTCCCAGCTATATAACCTTTCTGAAAATTAATCTTGTTTTATTTTTACGAGCTCAATCTTCAAGTATTTATTAAGTACCAGTATATGTAAACCACTCTGTTCATCCCACATATTTCCACTCTTTTGAACAACTTAATATTCATTTAAAGCCAAACTTCTCCAAGGATTAGAACATTAGATTCAGCAACCTGAAATAGGCGTGTATATCCAGTATGCAGCAAGGTCTTAGACAACAAAAGCATTCGTCTTTGATCATGTAGAGTTCATCAGTATTTGAGAGCGGCACATGGACTATACAAAAATACCAAACTGAGTCCTAAATATGTTATTATTTTTAAATTTAACTAAAAAGAAGAAAATAATCTTCAGGAGAGTTATACAAATAAGGCATCTTGGATCACCTCTTGATAATTCTCATTTTATCAGGGAAGTTGAGTGAGTCTAGATCAACTGGGATAAGAACATCTTGTGCTTATGCAAGTACTTCTATCGTTGAATGTCGTTCCTTCAAAAATGACAGCAACTCTGGGTGAGAAACGAATATTAAAGTGGTGACATCTTATATCCCTCCCCTGAATCCCATCCCTATGAAAGAAATAGTAGTGGTTTACAAGGTGCCACTAAGCAACAATGCTTAAAGGTATGAAATAACTCCTTGAAAAAAATATGGAGCCACAGTATCAATTCAGTAAAAATAGCAATAAATAAAATAAGTCTTTATGAATGCTTCTGGTCTCTGATAGCTCAGATGTTTAATGTTTAGAAGTGAGTTGTTACAGTTAAATAAAGTAATCTCAATAATGATCTGTCATAAACACAAAATTTAGAGTAAGATAAATTTAATCTTAAGTTTGAAAATTACTAGATGCAGGACTTTGGGCAATCACTCAATCATACTACATTTATTTAGCTGTAAAAGCGAGATAATGAGACAACCTATAAGACTGTAAGGATGAAAAAATACAATGCACTTATATGCTTTGTATACTAAGAGTTCAGTGTTTTATTAAAACATAAAAATTAAAGTTTACCTCCTTAATTGGGTAAAATTAAAGTATACTAGGATATAAAAGAGTAAAATTATCATAAATTTGTAGATTTAAAATTAAGACCACTTTAGAGGTTTATGTTAATATTTCTTCCAATATAGATGACACTTTTACAATGTCCCAGACAAAGCATTTTCCAGCCATGGGTGAAGGAAACTTAGCTCCTTTGCAAGGCAATCAATTTCACCGTAGGATAATTTTGGTTTCTTATGTCTAGCTCTGTATAACTTCCATTTGCTGATTCTAATTCTCTTTGGGCAAAATGAAATATACTTTCTTTTTTTCTTTCTTTTCTGCATGATAGGCCTTTCCAATACAATCACCCTTCCCCAAACCCTACCTAGACTTTCTTTACTCTAAACCTAACATTCTGGTTTTTCTTGACAATACTCAAATCATATGAATTCTAAACTTTTAAAATTTTAATTCCCTTCCCTTGAACCTTTGTTCTTCACAGAATGTGATACAGAACTACCACAGCATTTGACGATCAGCCAAAAAATATAATGGATTTTTCTCCTTTGAGTTTGATTTGAACTTTTTTTCTTCTCTGACAATGACACTTAAGGTTTCATTAATTTTTTAAAACTTTATTATAGAGATGTGGGATATAAGTGAGAATTAACTACATAAGTAGGCTGCATGCAGGTGAAGTTTGGGTATCTAACTGGCCTTCACTCTCCCTGGTAATGGATCAGGTACTCTTCTGTTATCACGTCCCTCTACCCTCCTCCCTCTCTCCCTTCCCTAGAGTGCCCAGCGACTGTCTATCCCTTTCTTGTGTTAATGTGACTAATGTTCAGGGCCCCCTTATGAGTGAGAACAAGCTGTATTCAGTATAGTTTAATAATTTTTTTAAAAAGCATATAGTACTTATTTAAATTACATTAGATTTATGATCAACTAAAATTTTCAGATTTTTTTCAAGATAAATCTCCTTTCACTTGTATCTGAAACACTTATTATTTGTAGTTTAATGTAGAATTTTACATTAAACCATGAAAATTTGAAGACTGACCAGTTGAGATAAATTTATAACTTGGTTCTCTTACGTGATGTCCTAATATTCAACATTGGCAAATTTTACATGCATTTAGATGAAAATATGTACCTTATGGAAGATATCTGAGAGATGTCTCAAAAGACTTCCCTCTCTACAATGCTTTTCAGTCAGGGACACTTTTTCTTCCCAAAGGGTGTTTGGTAATGTCTAGACACAGTTTTGGTTGCCATGATTGGGATGGAGAGAATTATTGGTATTCTCTGGGTGGTGATCAGGGATGCTGGCAAACAATTTACAGTGCACAGAACAGCTACCCTCCATCCTCAGCAAAAAATTATCCTGTCCAAAATGTCAAGATCAAGGATAAGCATAATACACATCAATTGGCTAGGAAATACATATCAACTGGATAATAATCTTCGAGTAGAGATTCTTTCACTGTATCCATCTTGTCTACCAGAAACCATAAGAAACTCAGTTGCCTTACAATCAGGATACAGAATAATTTCCTCCTAATCCATCTGTTAATCTATTGAGAAAGGGAATCAATTTAACTTGTAGTGCTGCTTATCTATTTCTTAAAAATTATAATTTTGATTTCAAGCCCATCAATGTAGAATTTAACACACCCTTTGAGTAATACTATTGAAATCAGGGTAAAACTTGCTTTCATTCTTCTAGTGCCACATCTTGCTTCCTAAAAATGTCAAAATAATCAGTATAATTTTTATGCTCACATTCAAGTTGTGTGGAATGTAATTGGCCGTGACACAGACAGATAAACTTTTGAAGAAGGAATCTGGAAATCATTTACTCTTTGCTGACATTGAACATCAATTCTTACTGGAACCCTATTTCTTGGAGTCTGATTTCAAGAGGCTTAGGCCTAAATGTGTGATTTCTGGCTGCTTAACCCTTCCTAGAACCTCCAATAATTCTGTATCATTTTCACAGAGCTGTGATAATTGACTTTTTTACTTCCATCATCCAACACAAGCTTTCTCAGTGTCAGAATGCTCTTCAGAGAGGTGATTCCAGGAAGCATTAATGCGGGAGTTGAGAAAAAAAAGCCAGTTAAGGTTAATTACATACAGGTTACTGCACTAGGCCATACTACCTGGGAGTTCTAGGGGATGTGCAGAACATGCTTCAGAATTGTTCCACCTGAGGGTCAAGGAAACTGACATATTTATTAATCAATTTCTCTCAGTGTTAGGTAAAGGGCTGCTAGAAGGCAAGGAGGTAGAAGTGATAATTAACTTCAAAGTACTTTATATGGCACTGTATCCTGGTTGAGTAAGCTTTGTGGTCCAGAGGAAGTTCTTAAGTAGAGTTGCAAGTGTTTGCAGCTAGAAGCCACTGAGGTTATTGTACTCCAGAACGGTGAGTGTTAGGGTATATGGGTGGATCACTTGCAGCACCTGCTACACATTTTGTATGCACTTGTGACAGTAATTTTACTTAACATTGAATGAATTCAGTTCTCTGTCTAGTAAAATCTGTCCTGAACTGAAAAACGCATTATCCAAAATGATTGAATCCATTTTCAGAGAAGTCTCTATCTCTTCCCTGTGGCTCTATCATGGTTTCTTTAGGATCACTAGGGCTAGTTTCTGGTCATCTTGCAATCAT